TTTATGTTCCTTGACCACTCATTTAAGTATGATGTATCAAAAAGCAGATCGGGAGCCCTGTGTATGTGGACAGAATTTGTTGAGTGGTAGGTCTAACTTTAGAATGATCTGGAAGGGTTGTTTCATAGGGAGACCTTCTGAATTTGATTTTTTCTGTCAAGCTAGTTAACGTTTCTAGTGAAGATTTCTCTAGCCTTTTGTCTACATGGGAAAAAGATACAAGTCTGACTGGAAGTATTTTCTCTGAGCCAAGTGAGAGAAGAAGTCTGATGGTTTCACCCGACAATACATAGACCCTCACTTATTCCCCATTCTTAGTACGGTCCCCCACATTTTGCTCTTCCTCGCGTCCTTAAGTAATCCCTCGATCTTCTGTTGGGTGCGTGAGAATGAATCTCCTTCATACCTCAGACGTGCAAAAGGATTTCACGTTTATATAGACTTCCAGTGAATCTATTTTAGCTTCATCTACGCCCCACTTTTAGAAATGTGTTGTGTCTCATCTTCTCACAGCTTCTTGCTTTTGGACTTTCCCACGAATACCAGCTTAGTTTTCAGATTTCTCCAGGCTGTTAAGTTAAACATCACTTTCCATCTTCTCTCCAGCTTACAAAATGTTTCAAATGCATCTCTGACAGTCTGTTTGTCTTTGTGGTTATGCGCCTTTGTTTGATACCACTTTTATCTCATTGCTCTCTTTTTAATGGGTATTTTGGGGGGATGTGGGTGGAAGGAAAGAGAAGTAAGCATATGCAATCAGTCTGCTATTTCCTGGATCATTAATAGCCCATAAGAATAAAAAATCCGACATAGTTATATTAAAGTTTTTTCAGTTACTATAAAGTGAGTATTATATTAAAACCAAGTGTGGAAAGTAGTACATGCTATACAAGTAGTGCTATTGTTATTTCTATTTCTTTAGGGGAGAATTCTGTCATCTGTTGAGTGTGTTTGCTCTCCTTCATGTCATTAATTTTTTTTTCTCCTTGGATCTTTTGGTTTGCAAGTTCATATTGAGTGGGAGTTATGTGTTCCTCTCTGGGGTTTTTGGCTTACCTGAATAAATCTCTCTCCCCAAGATCCTCAGATCAGACCTAGGTCTCATAGAGCTTCCTTTAGGCTCTCATCCCACGTGAAATTTTGCAGAACCCCTCCCAGATTATATGATAGTTTGGCTCAATAACCAGGCTCCAGGTTATTTCCGTTGTTTTAGGTGATCCCAGACAGCTAATCAATTTCAACCACACACAGAGGCTACTTTTCTCTAGCCGTCAGTTATGGGTCAGGGAGTCCTGCCCACTGTGTTTCTAGAAATGAGCCTAGGTTTCGTCACTGCCCTCACTATGGTGCCAGTTGTTTACTTTCCCTGTAGAAATTGAACTCCCGGCTATCATGGCAAGTTTCCAATGCTGGCATCCAATAAGCCTGGATAACTTTAGTCCACTTTAGCACTGTGTTTCCATCTTATTTCTGGTTTTACTGAGATGTTTCTTTTCTGTGGGAAATTAGCTTTACCCTTATGTCTTTCATTAACTGTTACTGCCATTTTTTTTTTTTTTGAAACAGAGAGGAATGCAGATATCTTGCTCTGTTTCCCTCCACTCCCCCCACCACTACCACTTGCTTTTTTGGATGCACTTATTCAGATTAAGAAAGTTCTCAATCATGAATATTTGTTGAAATTATCAATTGTTTTTCTGCCTCTATTGAAATAATCACATGATTTCTCTCCTATGTTTTGTTAATATCAAAAACACTGATTGATTTTCCAAGGTTGAAGCAACTTTGCCTTCTAGGAATAATCCCCACTTGGTCTTGATATAATATATATTTTGTTATATATCACTTCATTGGTAAAATTTTTTTTAGGATTTTTACATCTGTGTTTATGAATGACATTGACCTAAATTAGTTGGGAAGTTTTCCCTCTTTTTCTCTTTTCTGGAGAATTTATATAAGGTTGGAATTATTTATGCATTAAATGTTTAGTAGAATTTCACCAAGGAAGCTGACACTTGAGTTTATTTTTTAAGTATTTTAAATTACAAATTTAATTTAATAGATATAGAACTATTCAGATTTCTGTCCATTTATATGTTAGTTTTGATAACAAACAAATATTTTAGGAGTATTTTCAGTCTATGTAAAATTTTAAGTTTATTGACATATAGTATTTTTCATTACACACTTCTTATACTCTTTATTTTCATTCATTTAATGTTTATTTTTGAGAGAGAAATAGAGAGGGGGGAGGGAGGAGATCTGAAGCAAGCTCTGCACTGTTAATGCAGAGCCCAATATGATAAAGATATGATCTCATGAGATCATGACCTGAGCTGAAGTCAGACAGTTTATCAACTGAGCCACCCGGGTGCCCTGTACTCTTTGTTTTTAATATCTTTGAGATCCCCTCTTAAATTCCTGATGTTGGTAATTTATGGTTTATCTTTTTTGTTCTTCATAAATCACCATGAGTTTATCAATTTTATTAGTCTTTTAAGGGGTAGCTTTTGTTTTCTGGTCCATTCATATCTGTTCTCATGTATTTTGTACCTCTCTTCTACTTTTCTTTTTTTTTTTTTTTGGTTTACTATTCTTTTTTTAACTTCTTGAAATGGATACTTAGATTATGAGGTTAAGCCTTCCTTTTTAATATATTTATTTAAGGATATTGATTTTCTTCTCATCACAGCTTTAGCTGCATTCTACAGATTCTGGCACTTCATATTTTTAGTAGCATGCATTTAAAAAATACTCTCTAATTTCCATTATGATTTCTTCTTTGATCCATGAGTAATTTAGATGATTACTGCATAACTTCTAAATATTTGGGGATTGTCTAATATAGTTCCACTGTGGCCTAAAACATACGATATTAATCAGCTCAAGTGTGATAACAAAATGGCATAGATTGGGTAAATTAAGTAACAAAATTTTTTTTCTCACAGTTCTGGAGGCTAGAAACTCTAAGATCAAGGTGCTGGCAAGGGCACAGTTCTGATGAGAGCTCTCCTCCTGGCTTGAAGACAGCTGCCTTCTTTCTGTGTCCTCCTATTAGAGAGAATGAGAGAGAGAGAGAGAGAGTGCTTTCATTTCTCCTCTGATAAGGCCACTAATCCCATCATGAGGGTCCCACCTTCATGACCTCATCTAACTCTAACTCCTGAAGTCACAGTCTCCAACTACCATCACAGTAGAGTTGAGGACTTCAAATAATAATTTGGGGAGAGATACAACCATTCAATCCATAGTATGTACTGTTAGTATTTTAATCCTTTGATTAACTTCTGTTTTGCTTGGGATTTCTTCTTCTCTTTTATTTAGGATTTAGAATATGTCATTACATGTAAAACTTTTTTTCTTTATGTATATTTGTCAGATTTTGTGCTCAAGGTTTTCCCTAGCTTCATGATGCACTAAAATATTTTAATCTTTTTTTACTTTGGAACTTTTAAAATAACATGGAAATTCTCCTGTTTCTTGAAAATTTGTAGGAACTCAACCACAAAATAACAGTATCTAGTCCCTACCTTGAATAAAACTTTTGTAATTTCCCAAAAAGTTATCTATGTCATCAAGGTTTTGAAATGTGTCACTAAATTTTCTATATTATGTAAAGTTTGCCTTCTCGATATACCAGGGGCTTAGTGAAGTATTTTATAGCTTTTAAAATGTTTGATTCCTTATCCTTTTATTTTCCTTATATCTAAAAGCTGTACTTTATATATGTGTGTGCTTTTTTCAGTCTTCATACTTTTATGATTATTATATCTTCATTGTGAACTCTGCCTTCATAAATGAAGTTTTCATCTTTTTGTCCCATTGCATTTGTCTCAAATATTTTTCATTTTTTATTTTTCCTTTTATTTGCACAAGTAAAACATGTTGATTATAGAAGATTAGAAATCAGAAAAACTGAAAGTCACCCTTAGATAAACACTATTTTTTCAAAGAATTAACTTATTTTTTTTAACAATGAATTTTTATTTTAAGAAAAATCAGGGTGAAATACTGGCAAGAATAAAGAAAATAAAAATCCTATCCCTTAGACCTCATCACTGTTAACATTTTGATGTTATGTATGAATACACAGGTATTTAGTTTACCTTTTATTCTTAAACATTTAGATTGTCTCCTTCCATTTTATAAAATTTAATTTTTTTTTTTTGCTATTACAAACCACCTAGGAGCAGACATCCTTTTGTCAATTTTAAGTATTTTAAAATTGTTTCCTCATAGTATATCTATACTAGTTAAAAATTTGTATTCACTGCTAATTAAATATCCCCAAATGAAGATAAGTATAATGTACAATCATTCAGCCATCAGAATGGCAGACATGCCGTCCAGTGCTGGTGTGGGTGAAGGAAACCACGCACTCTCATATGCTTCTAGTGGGAGTGGGAATTGAGATTCAGGAGAATCTTCCTTGAATGCAGTTTAGAAATATGTATCAAAAGCAGCTGCCTTGGTTTTTCATTTTTACAGATGTTTCATGAGAAAACCTGATTTTTCCAAGATCTTATTGGAAAGGAATCCCATTATACATACATGTTGTAAATCCAAACCTAACAGAGAAGAATTTTCTTAGGGATATTCCAAATAATGAATCCAGGTGCCCCAAAAATTTCCTGAAGTGTGCTTTTAAGCATTTAAAATTTCTTTTGACACCCATATAAATCATGCTTGCCTTGGGGCTCTATTCAAAACAAAATCAAGATTCTATTATTGATATATGGTGGCACGTCAGACCGGGGAGAAACCTGCTTCTTTTGTCATCTGGGCCTTCCCAAATGGGTAAAAACCTTTGAACGCTTTTCTGGCATTTCTTGCCTTTGCATATTGTCTTTCTGTATTTTAGCCACATCTTTGGGTGGGGATAGCGTGGCACTCGGCTCTGCACACGGAGTGCAACATTGAGGCGTCCAGAGAAGGGCTTGAGGTCATCAGTGCTCAGACTGTTGCCCACGCCCATGGCCCTCCCTTGTGTTTTGGTGCAGGTGGCGCACAGGCTCTTGGGGGCCCTGCTCGGCGACCTGCGGCGTCGGGATCCAGACCCGTGAGGTGCACTGCCTGTCCCCGGGGGAGTCCCCGGCCCCTGCCGAAGAATGCAGGGACGAAAAGCCCCACGCTCTGCAAGCCTGCAATCAGTTTGACTGCCCTCCTAGCTGGCACATTGAAGAATGGCAGCAGGTAGGCAGGCCGGGGACCTCAGGGGCCACCACACCTGTGGCCATTCAGGCCCCGACCCACCTCCTTCCATCCTCTCAGTGTTCCCGGACCTGCGGCGGGGGCACTCAGATCCGAAGAGTCACCTGTCGGCAGCTTTTGACCGATGGCAGTTTCTTGAGTCTCTCGGATGAGTTGTGCCAAGGACCCAAGGCGTCTTCTCACAAGTCCTGCGCCCGAACAGACTGTCCTCCACATTTAGCCGTGGGAGACTGGTCGAAGGTGAGGGCCGTCCCCAACCTTCTAGTCTTTTGCTTTTTGCCCCCTTTCTTTTGTTTCAGTCTCTAAACATTTCCTCTGCAAGATTGTGGGGCATGCGAGTGGGGTGTGCGTCCTGGGGCCTCCAGTCGGGGTAGAGAGCCCATCCGACATCAGACTCCATCTCAACAGATAAGAAAGGGCAGTTACCGACCCGGCCGAGCTTCTCTGAGTCCTAACTTCAGTGCTGGCCACAAGGCCTGTTACTCTCCTTGGGTCATATGATCCCACAACGGCTCAGGAAGCCGACGCCACCTCCATTTCTGTTGACGAGAAAACATTCGGATAAAGTGACTTTCCCAAGGGTAGGGCTGGGATTCAAGTCCAAGTTTGTGTGACTCAAGGTTTGAACAAAGGGCGCACGCTCGGGGCTTCCGTGCGAGAGCGAGGGGTCTTGCTCCCGCCACACCCACGAAGGAGTCCCAGCTTTGTTGCCTAGAAACTGGGTGTCCGTGTTGAGTCTGCTCAAGCTGCCGGACCCCCACGTGCCTTTATTTAGATGCAATGGCTGCCGTGAGCTTAACCTGAGATATTAGGTCACTGGCAGAGTGGACCCTTCTCATCCTCCCGAGGGAAAGGGCGCATTCTTCTGGCACAGAGTGGGTTCATCGTACATCCGCCTGCTTGTTCTCCGGTTTGGTTTTGTTTGTTTTTTTTTAAATGTTTATTTATTTCTAGGAGACAGAGAGAGAGACAGCGCGAGCAGGGGAGGGTCAGAGAGAGAGGGAGTCACAGACTGAAACAGGCTCCAGGCTCTGAGCGGGCAGTCAGCACAGAGCCCGACGCGGGGCTCGAACCCACGAACCGCGAGATCATGACCTGAGTGAAAGTCGGACGCTCAACCGACTAAGCCACACAGGCGCCCCTCTCTGGTTTTGTATGTTTCTTGTTGTAATCGTCTAGCTCAATTAAGTGCCAGCATTCAAAAACTATCTTAATTGACAAGCTTCAGGTCATTGTCCTCATCCGGGACACTCCCAGTCATCGATGAGTGTTTCCCTAAACCCCCAGCGGGTGCTCAAGAGACAAACCCGTCCTTCCAAGGTCTGCAGTAGGAAGCCCAGGACCCGGCCACCACGCCCCGCTCACTCTGTCCCAACCCCCGAGGAGCCAGAGCCAGAGCCGGTGGCCAAGACCGTCCCCCACGAGCTGCTGCGCTGTAGGTCAGCGACATGAGGGGCAGGAGAATCGTTTCCTCCCACAGGCAGGGCCTGGACAGACAGGTGAGGCATCTTTCCCAGGCTGGCGACGGGGAAGGACAGGTAGAAGTCTGCCCTGGGGATCTTCGTCTGTAAAAGCCGGCTTGCTCTGTTTCCCCTCCTCTGTCCACAGGGAGCAGTGGAAGTATTCCTTTCAGACTGGGTCAGGCGAGGGGAAGTGCGCAAAGGTGTCAGGAGGGGGTCAAGGTAGCTGGTGGGCAGGCAGTATTGATTGCAGTCACCTAGCTGAGTCCCAGGAGTGAAAGCCTGCTGTTTCCCCTTAGAGGAGCTGAAGGGGCCAGGTACCATCTCCATGAGGTCAGGCACAGAGCCGCAGGGGCGAAGGGCCAGGCACGTGTGGGGAATGCTCTCCCCACTGTGTGATGCTCTGTCTCCCCGCTACACCGCGTGTGCCCAGCATCCAACCGCATGGGCACCCCTTGACAAGCCGGGAGCCTGTAAGAAATGAGGAATCTCGAGCCCCTGGCCCAGCCCAGACCTAAAGACCCGAATCTGCGTTTGGACTATGTCCAGATGTTGCAAAGCACATCAGAGTTGGAGAAGCGTTTCCTTACCTGCCCCTCATCCTTGAGAGGGTTGCTCAGCCCTTGGGTTTGTGTCCAGGGTAGGAATGGCTCTGGGAAATGGTCTCTCTGAACAAATGCTGTCCTAACCCGAGGGGAAAAGGCAGGAAGGGAGGAGGGGAAGTCAGCAGGGGTTGTGGAGGAACGAGGGACCTTGTTTTGGGTGCAGCCAGGGAGGACCTAGAGCCCCTCCCCTGCTCTAAAATATGCCGTTCTGCTTCCCTCTTTTCTCCTCTTCCCTACGAACAGACAGGCCTTCTCGGCTCCATCTTGTTTTCTAGAACAAATTCTTCTCGATGGAGACTGGTGGCGCTCCCTCCCCCGGCCTTTCTTTCTGTGAACAGTGTGTTTGCGGTTGCTGGTCGGGGTCACTGAAGTGACACTGGTATTGGGTCCGGTCATGCTTGCCTACTGGGTGTCCGCTCTTGTCCGTGCTCTCCAATCCTGGGTCCAGGTCCGAGCCTCCCTCTTCTGTGAAACCTTCCATCCCCTGAAATCATAGCATTTCCCAGCTTTAACTCACAATGACCCACATGTTTATGACACTTCACCGGGGAGCTCCTTCCCAAGCGCACATATGGCTTTCCTGCCTGCCTTACGGTATCCTTGTGGCCGGCGGCCATGAGACCGATGACAGGTCCTGGGGCCCAGCAAGCTCTGAGCAGGTAAATATTCTTCCCCAAGAGTCTTTGTGAAGTCAGAGGGAAATGAAGAGTGTTGCTGACGTGACGGTCTTTAGAAAAGCTCAAGCGTGCTAATGAGGACACGCAAACCTTGTCTGGGAGACAAGGGGACAGAAGGGAAGCTGACCCACGTGAGCCGGGGGTGGTCCTGAGGCTGGTCAGTGTCCTAGGCAACCCCTGGGCAGGGCAAGGGCAAGCTGGAGGTCACCCCAAGACATCAGCCCAAGCACAGTGAAGACAGCGCCCCGCTGCCAGGCAAGGCCATGTCTCTAGAACACTTCCCTCAACTGCTCGGGGAGGCAGAGCGGCCTCTGCCTTTGAAACCAAAAGCTAACAACATCCAGACTCGGGTCCAGTCAGGCCCACGTGCTGGGTTTCCTGCGGGTTCAGCTTTTCTCCCATTAGCTGACGTTCCATCGCATTGCAGACTTGCTTTGTTCGGGTAGACACTCTGATGCCAAATGACCACCCTCCCCCAGGGTCTCTGCCAGGCCCCTCCTGTGCCACAGGCTGCCTCACGGGGGCCAGCCGTCCATCCTGTGGTTCTGGATACGGCCCTTCCCACACTGGAACTGACCACTAACCCAGGACACAGGAAGACTGAGGAGCCACGCCAGCATTTCCATTCCTCCCCGAGCCAGGCCTCTCGGCCGGCGGCTGGAGCGGCCCTGCTTCCCGACACCAGCTCTGTTCACCACATGCTGGCGCTTCATGTGCCCGTTGGCTCGTTTTTAGGTCTGAGCTATGTTTTAGGCAGAAAGAAGCCTTCGATTCCTACACTGCATTTCAAGGTATAAGAAGGGAGCACTGACCCCTGCACAGAACAATCTTCCCAAATGGTGGGTTCCTCTGATCCACGGACCCCTTGCTTAAATCCGTTTTTTAACCTAAATCCAGTAACTGTTCCTCGCTGTTTACCCTCTGTACTGTGATGGAGCACTTGACCATTTTGTGTACCTTCATCATTCTTCGTGATGTTTCTTGGTGGGTTTTTTTTTTTTTCCTGTTTACCTATTTCTCATCTACTGGTTTCTCTTCTTACAAATCTCCAGAAAGCTCAATATTTGACCGGGTATTTGATGTACATCACTGCGTTTTTTCCTCCATAGCTGATTCTGGGTCCTGACCTCGTTTCAGGCTTCTATAAATTATTCCCTATCTCCAGGTACAGTCTCTGACCCTCTGTTTGGTACGGTGTCTGCAACTGTCCAAAGAGGATGTGTCTTCCTCCTGGGGAAACAGAGAGACAACCTCTTCAATCCCAGCCCCCTCCCCACCTCACCTTGGTCTCTTATTAGCACACCAGCATCCTTCTGACACTTGTGATCACCTCTGACTTCTTCAGCTCCTGTGTTCAGCGACCGATGACTGCTAGCTCTTTAAGTCTTGAAATACAGCCATAGGTTAAGTAAAAAAGAGATCTCTTTAATGAGAGATTTTACAGAGAACAGCTCAAGATATGTCCTGGACACATGGATTTATAAATACAACATTCTAATTTTTAATAGACTTATTAATTGTGACTCATGAAAGCAGTAGTGTGTTGGGGCCCATTCATACCAACCTGAGGAGCCACAGCTGTAGTCTCCTAACTTGTGCTCGGTGGCATCAGCTTGATAGCTTGAAATCAGCCATGATGGGACCATTGGCACACGTTATAGTCAGTGCTGTGTCCCCAAGAACTTGTGAGGCATTTAGCAGCACACAGCTGCGTGAAAGGGTCACACACACACACATGTGCATGCACACACACACACACACACACACACACTCTTCTATTAATAAGCCATTTTCAGCTTATTGATAGTCACTTAGGATGGAAGTGATCTCAAGAAGTTCCAGTGTCTGGAGGTGCGTGCATGGCTCAGTCAGTTAAGTGTCTGACTTCAGCTCAGCTCATGATCTCACAGTTTGTGGGTTCAAGCCTGGTGTCGGACTCTGTGCTGACAGTTCAGAGCCTGGAGCCTGCTACTGTGTGTGTGTGTCTCTCTCTGCCCCTCCCCTGCTTGTGTTCTCTCTCTCTTTCTTTCTCTCTCTTTCAAAAGTAAATAAACATTAAAAAAATTAAAAAAGAAAAAAAGAAGTTCCAACGTCTGGACTTTTTCACAAAGTCTAAGAACCTTGGTTGGGCTTCTCTAAGATGTTTTTTATTTTTATCTTCATAACTGGTGTTGGTAAAGCTAGGAAATATCTTATCTCTAGATGGAAATCTGTTCTGTCAATCATTATCCTGCAGGATCAGTTTGATCTTGATCCAAGTTGATTCATCTAAATGCATTAGGTATTCCTTCTGTGAATAGAAGAATATTCCGGTTCACAAGGTTTATTCTAAAATCTTCCTTTTACTCTTTTCATTGTGTGGTATTAATTATGAGTTTTTTAATATTAATAATTTTGTACATCACCACTCTTCTACTTGAATAATAATGTCTTTTTAGACTCAATATAATAGTTTATTCTTCTATTTTGGCCCACCTAAAATATAACCAGTACATTCA